TCCTCCTAAAGTACTAAAGATATTCGCTGCCAGTTTCTCTCCCCTTACTGTGAAATGTATTGATTGATTCATGATTGATTAACGGAGGATTGATCATATGATTGATAGCTTGCATTGTGGGGGATCATTTTTTGTGAGTTCAAAAGTTCTCCCAGAAAGGAATGATATCTTTTCAACTGTGGGAAAAGCCTAGCAACATCATTCAAGGCTGAGACCTGAAATACAAGACATTTCTATCAAGAATGCTGCAAAAAAAATCCAATCGACTACGGAGGGTACACTATTCACGTGAAACTATTAAAGTTATCAGTTTAAGCAGTTTATTTTTCGTCACTTACTCGAAGAAACTCGCGTTCTAGACAAGCACAACTTGTTGACAACTTGACTTAGGTAGTTGTAGTGAGTTGNATATCAATTTTAACGATGTTTCTATGAAACAGGGTATCGATTTCAACGATTTTTCTCTGGAACAGGGTCAGGGCGCAATTCTTTCATAACAGTAAAAGGTTGCTATTGTAGACGCTTAATGAACAATGGTATTTGCACGTGTAACCCGGCAAGCCCTAAACTGAGCCGAATAAAAACACAAATAAACATTTTTACTCTAATATGAGATATCATAATTTTTAAAACCTTACTTTTGCAGTTATTGTTTTAATTACTTTTTTTTCTTTTGTTTAGTTTTTCGTTGTGAAGTGCTGTGTCTTCGCCACAAAAAAATATATAGAACAATTATAGCATTTAGTGCCTCTCTCATTAAATGAAAATAAGTGGTAAAATGTATAATGAAAATTGTTTTGTATGTTTGTTTTTTCGTTTGTTGTGATGCTATTTATCCTTACAAATTTTATTCGATTTAAAAAATTGTGTATCATAATTTAGACCGAATTAGACGGCACAACGTTTACCGTCAAGAATCGCATGCAACCTGTGTAGTTTATCCTTAAAGGGACACTGTCAATGGATGACATGCGCAGGTTTACATGCGATGGCACTCACACTACATTTGCTACAGTTCGAGAGCCACAGTAAAAAAATTCGTTTTAGGAAAATGCGAAAACAAAGAGGAACCCCCTTTGAAAAATCCTGGATCCGGCTATGCTATCCACTTCTATCAAAGACTCAATCGACTACGAAAGGTATGTACCAGTATTCACATGGCTATTTGAAAAGTTTCAGCAGT